GATATTATGCCCCGGTGCCCCAGAATGGAAATCACAATGGGCTGTTTTATCATAGCCTTGTGGTGGCTTACTGGCAAGTGGAGACATAGTCCGGAGTTTAACTAATCGAAGTTGAAGCAAGAGTTGCAACAACTGAGCATAAGTCATAGGGATCTGATTGAACATTCTGTCGGACTGCTTCGTCTTTTGAGCATACCTCATAATCCTAGGATTGTCTCGGGAAACAGGAAGTAGTTGTTGGCGAGGAAATACTGGAACCTCAGGTTGTGTAAGATATCTTTGAGGCACTTCACGCCTTGGGAGAGGTTCCACATGTAAAGGTGGGATGGCCATCTTTGCTGCAGCTTCGGGCACATGATCGCCTTCCTTTCTCAACACATTCCTCATAACTTCTGTTATCAGGCCCATCTGAGTCTTCAGTTGATTATTCTCCTCTCTGAGTATATCCTGATCCAAGCGCAACGCTTGCATCTTTGCCACAAACTGCCCCAACTGGCTCTGAACTTCCCTTAGTTCTTCTCGAATCTGTTCCATGGTCGTCTCTGTTGGTTTCCTCTGGTGGAATACTGGTGAATGGCTGGATCTTCAATTCTGGAACAAACCGGATGGAAAACCACATGAAGCAATTACGTCCACAAAATTAGAACACCTCTATGCAAATGAATAATGATGCAATATGCAAGACATGCAAAGAAATGCCAATGAATATGCAAATGCAACAAGGGATCAAACGTTGTTGTGTTGTTGACTGTGACGAACCAGCGCTTCGCCTTGAAACCACACAGCACTAGCACAAGGGTCCCACTGTAACTATTCAAACGGGTAGGATGAAGGTCAAAGTTTCCTGCAAGACAACCACAGAAGGTATCTTTCCCATCGGGTGAGCAATCTATCGGTTTAAAAGAGGGTATTCCAAAGGCTTTTCAAACAAAGTCCCATGCACTAACCCTCAAAAGTTTCCCATCAGAACGACTACTCGTAAGACGGTAATTCTTTCAAAAGGATGAACACAGAGTTATGTTTTAGCAACATTCGGAATAAGGTTCTACAAAAGGTCCTCAGAGTCAAGGACTCCCAAGTTAGAAATAAAAACGCCATTACAACTACACGTAAGTCATAATTATTCCAACGGGGTCTCATCTGAGCGGTGGAATTCGATCCAACTCAACGAGTCCTAAGTCTCGCAAATCAGAAAGAAACCACCTCCTAATTTAGTGCATACTCGAAAGCTCGGGTAGAAAGCTTTATCCTCACAAACCAAACCAAATGAACCCAACAAGTTAGAAAGAAACATAACCATAAAATAAATAGCAAAACAAATAAAGCACAAATGCGACAAACAAAATAGGCGTGGCTTGCTAGGTACATCCCCAGCAGAGTCGCCAGCTGTCGCTACTCGAAAAATGCATCGTGCAACGACGGGGAGGCGAAAAAGATAGACAGAAGAGTCGCCACCGAACTTTATTTATCCCATGAGGGGAAAGGAAAATATCGAGAAAACCTTTAGAAAGAAAAGGATAAGATGGTCTCGCTACCAAGAACGGGTTCGGAAGCCGGTTATGCGAGGGGAAGGTATTAGCACCCCTCGCATCCATCGTACTCGATGGGAACCTTTTGTTTGTCAATGTGTGAATTTATATTTGCTAAAACATTATGCTATAGGGAGTGTTCCACATGGTAAAAGAAGGGTTAGAAACAGGAAAGTTAGGAGGAAAGAGAGAACAGGGAAAAAGAGAAAGAACAGACTCGGTAGGACTTCGCAGTCCTATGCCTACGTATTCTCAATAGATGTGAGAAAGTCAGAGTCGACGTAGTTCGGGGAACTACAAATATGGGGGGAATGTGCTCGACAAGGATTGTGGCCCTTGTGCCTACGTATCTTTACTTGAACGAAGTAAAGAATCAGAGCAGCCGTAGTTCGGCCTACGGTTTGTTGATGTTTTTTATGGATGATGCTATCGTGCGCATTCTAGCAGTTAGGTATTTCGCTGCTCGCTCGTTGGAGACTTAGGCGTTACCTGTTTGCGGTAGAACGGACGTAACATATCCTTTTGAAAGATTGATTAGTTTTCGCCACGCGAGGCAAGAAGTCACATTTGATTTGTTGAATTATTTTTAGGGGGAGAAACCGGTCCTCAGATAGTAACCCCTACGGGTAGTACCCAATTCACTGTCTCAAAGTTTTTGTCATAAAAGGGTGTGGCGAACGAGGCGTCTTCGTATTGAAAGACGAGCGTCGAAACCACCCTCACTACAGTGGGCATCCCAACGCTCGGAGAAGAAGAGGCCTACACTTAATCCTCTCTCTTTAATTCAATGCAAAGAGAACTTCATTCTCTTATTAGAGATGTTTTTGGTTTTGAATGGTAAGTGCTTTGCGACAGAGAACCCTACGGTAAACGTCAGTACTCGGGATAGGAGAAGGCCTACGCCTAACCACTCCACGACCATTCAAGTTTTTGTTATGAAAAGATTTGAAAATGCACTCGGTACGGGACCGAGGTTTTAGGTGAGAAAGGGTTACGAAATGAAGTTGTGAAAGGAGAGGTAGATAAAGTCGCATCTTTGTATTGAAGGACGAGTATCGAGACCACCCTCACTACAGTGGGCATCCCTACACTCGGAGAGGAAGAAAGTCTACACTTAATCCCCTCTTTTAATTCAATACAAAGATAATTTGATTTATTACTGAAAGTATACTCGGTACGAGACCGAGGTTTTATGAGGAAATGTTGGAAGCGTCTTTGTATTGACAGACGAGCATCGAGACCACCCTCACTACAGTGGGCATCCCTACGCTCGAAGAAGAAGAGGTCTACACCCAATCTCCTCTTTTTAATTCAATACAAAGATAATTTGATTTTGAAGATTGTTTGACAATGTTTTTGAATCGAGTCGGGACAAGTAATGAAGAGAGAAAAGAGGTGGTCTCAGATCCAACATTACTCATCAATAATTTGACTGGTAATGAATTACGGAGGTCTCGTCATCGACCCAAACAAGGAAAATGGGACAAAAGGCCCAATAACAAAAGAGAAAGAGATTCAACTTCAAAAATAAAAATAAAAACTTCTAAATACTATATTCTAAAAAATATGGAAATCAAATAATATATACAATCAATATATGATATAAACTCTAAAAATAATATATAATTTAAAATGTAGACTATAAACATGTTAGATAAAAGAAAATAATAAAACAACAATTCAATATGTATATACATAATAACTAAATACAATATATATAATAATAATATAATAATAATTAAATAATTTACTTTTAATTTAAAATAAGTAAATAATAAAAAAAACAAAGAAAAGAACGAAGACAGGGGGGCGGCGGCTCGAACCTTCTCAAAATGAATTGGGATTTGACCCAAACCTAGTTTAACGTTTAAATCAAAAGAACAAAATGGAAATCTACCTGATATCCAAACACGGCCCCTGTATTGAACCAAAATCTCAGAAAATCAATTCCCCAATTTGTACAAATCATGATCCTTCTTCTCCAAAACAAAATGAAAACAAGAAAAACGGTGTATGCAGGACATATTCGTCGAGCTTCAGTCGTCTTCCCCTTTAATTTCTCACCGTCCTCGCTCGATCTGCTTATGTTCGCCGCTGAGATTACCGGTTTGAATCCTTCTCTACATTTCACTTGTTCTTTGTTTCATCTCTCCTTTCGTTTCTGGTTTTCACACTCTCCGATCTGGACTTATTTTTAGGATTGGGTGAATACTGAAAGTTGTAGAAGGTTGAATGGGGTCAGGTTATGGGTTGAAGACGGATTGAGGAAGAAGAATAGGTTGAAGATGAAGAACATAATTTTTTGGGGGGTGAGTTTGGGTTGAATTTGAGTTGAAGAGTTGCGGTTCGTATGTTGTTGTTGTGAAGGAAATTAGTGAAGCAGTGTTTTAAAGAGGGATGAATACCGCCTGGTCATGGAACGAGCAAGGTGATGCGTATGGTATAGTTCGAATGGGATTGCACACCATGTGTTTGTGAAAATGACCTCCGTTTTCGCTTTTGGAACTGCTTGGTCACATGTTGGTTTCAGCTTGCGGTGGATGGTCACCAGCTAGTGAGTGTATCAGTTGTTTGGTTGGGTGATACAATAGCATAAATATCCTCTAGGAGAACCAGTTGTCGAGATTACTTTTGGAGTTTGAGTTGGCGCGAGACGCGGTGTGAGGAGATGGATTTCTGAAAGGTGATTGAAGTTTGTTGATGAAGTTCTAAGGAGGAATCGTGATATGTTAAAGAGATTGGAGTATGTTATTGTGAGTAAGGAGTGATGGTTTATATTCTTGAAGTGTAGTTTGTGTGAATGATTCAAGATGTGATGTGAATGTTTTTTTGCAAGTGGTCGTTTTATTGTGTTTTGAGGGATGGTTTTTTACAGGCTGCTGTTGTTAGCAGAGTATGCTTGTGTAGCAGAGTGCAGCAGGCCGGTACAGCTGGTGCAGAGCTTGTCTGGCATGGCTGTTTGTCTGGAGTGGCTTTGGTGCAGGTACAACTGCTGTGTATTGTTTATGCAGGTGTGTGGGCTGGTTGTGCAGAGTATGTTTGTGTAGCAGAGTGCAGCAGGCCTAAGGTTTGTTGGAAGGTTGCAGTAGTGGGGGCTGATTATGCAGGATCATACCACTTTAATGCAGCTATATGATACCAACAACCAAGTCTCTTATAACATAGTACATTTGAATGGCAGAAGTTCGAGTTTTAAGAGGAAACAATGGATAGTTGTTTATACAAAAGAAACAAAATACTCAACACCCATTGAATTGAAGCTATTTTCAAACTATGGTTATAAGAGAATAAAAATGCAAATGACAGAGCTACAGATTGGAAATATTCAAATCTCTTTGTTCCTCCTGCCATGATCTCCAAATCGTAACTATCGACAGTAAAAAACCGCAAAATTTGCTCTAAGCAACGCTGAAGTAGCGCAGAAGTTAAATTGCTATGCATTTCCCCTCCCTGGTTTTTTACATTCCAGTTTCATTTATTAGCCAATACCTCCCCTTTGCATTCACTACCTGCAGTGACCACGAAGCCTACTCCAACTTGGCAATCTTTTAGTATTGCACGTTCTTGGAGCTGTACATTGCTGCAGATGACAGAACCTTGGATTGAACAAAGATCACCAATAGTAACATGGTTCATAACTACTGAATTAACAACCTTAACATCGGCACCTATCCTACAGTGGCGGCCAATGACAGATCGTTTTACACTGCATTTGTCACCCATCTGCGAGCCTTCCCCCAACATACAATGCGGTCCTACAGTTGTTTTTGCCCCAAGCTCTGCAGTGGGATCGATAATGTTGTTATGAGCAGAGAAGGAATACTCTGACAAATGACTAGCTTCTCCTATCACATTCTGGTTTATATCATTGTATGCTTGTATAGAGTTCAGCCGAGCACAGTACTTGCTACTTCCGGCAATATAGACACAGCATTTATGGGTTCTTCGAACAGAGTCAGAACCATTAGTACTAAGTGCATGACGTAGATGAAATGTTGGCTCAGATGTATTAGCAAGTATTTGAGGTAACATTTGTTGATTCTTTTGAGAAATACCCTTCTCAGTTCCATTTTCTTCTGCTTGATCTTCCATTGGTGCAGAATTGTCTTTTTGAGGTGGCGAGTCGGAGAATTCTGCCTTAAGATGGAGGCTACTTTTGTTCTCAGTCGCATCAACTCTTTGAGATTGAACTGAAGCTTCAAAACTATGAAGGGTTTGCTGAGGAAGCGTAGTTTGATTTATATTTCTACCAGCACCATGATAAAAAGAGGGTCCTGTATCGGGTGTAGGCTTGAAGGCAAAGGATGATGCATACATATCATTAAAGCCATTAAGTTTAAATTTTTGTTGATCATCAGAAGATAACTCTGTGCCGCGGATATTTCCGTTTGAGACAAATGGAAACTTCCCTGTTGTTGGAGATGGTTGTGCCAACGAATTCGCAAGGAAAACAGGAGAATCTAAAAGTGTAGCAGGACTAAGACCAAGCGGTATAGTCAAATACGGAGACTGAATCTCAGAATTGAGCGAAAGCTCTGTAGATCTAATGCCTTCTGTATTCAACCTTGGCGCATTAAATCCGGTTCTAGCAGCAATTCTTTCAACAAGACCACCTCGCGAGTTCAGCTTATGATCGTTTCGATAACTTCCGTCGCTCAATTGGGTACCCGAATCACCATCTTGCACCTCAATTCTATCACTTTCAGATTGTTCAGAGATTTGTCTTGTTACACTATTACTCTCTTCATCTAGCATTCGAGAAAATAGGGTTCTCGGACTCGGATTCGGAAGACCCCAATCACCATTAAGTACAACATTTTCATCAATCCCAGCCATTCAAACCTCACTTTATCAATCAAACACCTAACCTAGAAAATAATGAATAGTAAAGATGAGATTTTTAACATAAAAATCAGACAAGAGAGCTCAACCACCACTGGAAATGATTAGAACAGAAGAATCGGATCCGAGAAACCCGAACCCGACCCAAAAATTTATCTGGGTCTCTCTTTGTTGTTGCTAATCTTGAGAGTAAATGAAATGATTCATCTTTTCTTTTTTTCTCTCTTGGCTTTGGATGAAAAGTACTTTTTATTTTTTTTTCTGTGTAACTTTGTACTCACACGATGTTAATGAGTTTAAAAATCTTATCTCTTAGTCATAGAACTCTCTTTGAAGTACCATTATTAATGTGACATATCCATGGATGAGAAATTCTTGTAACACCTTGTAATGAAGCTTGGTTTGAATTAATCCGAAATCATGATGGCTCATAATAACAAGCGCTTGAATTTCCATGTAGATTTAGCCTAACAATCATACTATCCAAATTCCCAACATCTCCAATGGTGAACTGAAACTTTGAATCAATTCCAAGAATCAACCCTCTACTCAAATTTGACTTTGAATGAGCTTGTACCATTCTTGTAGTGATAATGACTTATATCCTTGATTTTCTGATTTCTTGCTCAAAAATCCATAATGATATTTTGCAAATACAACATCTTCATCACATAAAAAATGAGAACAAAATTCTATCCATGATTTGCAAAACATCAATATTAATCTTTAAGGCCTATTCAAACACGAATCTTGAGGCAAGCATGAGTCACTCCTCCTTTAGAGCATGAATTGTCATAATTTGCACAAAATTGAAATAAGTTCAACCATAACTTATCTCACTTAATTCTCATAACCTCAATACTTATCTAAGGATGTGACTCCAAGAATATTGGAACACAAAAAACAAAGATATTCCAAAATCTCTTAAAAATGATTAATCAAGCCTTAAAAGGGATCAAACCTATCACTTGAATCAATAATCTCTAGTCCTCAATCATGAAATAAAACTCGCCAGACCAAGATCAAATCAGACCTGACTGATTTCCAACCTTTACTGGGCCCACACATGGATACAGATAGCCCTTCAATGAACCTCAATGATTACCACATACCACCGTCCTGCTAGCCTAAAAAACACCTCATTTCCTTTCAAACCGGCCTTATGAGGTCTTGAATTTGGGGCAACAAGTAGAAACAACATATCTTTTGATTTTCAGATTAACGGTTGATGGGAAGATGTACAGACAAGGGATGAACATGTAGGACAAATTTGGGGTATGCTTATGCAATGCGATATGCTAATGCAATGAAATTAAACATAAACTAAAATGGAGAAAATGTAGGGCAAATTTTGGGGTACAACAGCTGCCCCTATTCAAGCGACTTAGACCTGAATGGATGAAAAGCGAACATCTTTCAGACGATCATGGTAAAAGGCGGTTGAATACCAAAGAGACCTGAAATTTGCCAACCGTAAAAGGAACTTCTGACATCGCCGTCGGGTACCCATATTAAGTGGAACATCTAACCTCGCCGTCAGCTCCTTTAATAGCATCTAACCTCGCTGTCAGATCTCAGCGTCGAAATTATAAATCAACTGACTTTATCGTCGGTCTTCAATATTTTCTGACTTCGCCGTCAATTTTTTCACAGAACTTTGGTAAAGCCCCTGACTTCGCCGTCATCTCTTAAAACAAACTTCTGACTTCGCCGTCATTTCCAACAGTTTTGACTTCGCCGTCAATTCTTAAAATAATCGGTAAAAGCATCTGACCTCACGGTCAGGCCTCGACATTAAGTCGGTAAAAAGATCTAACCTCGTCGTCAGTCCTCTGTTAAATACAAACAGATATTGAATCCAAAGATACGATCCTCCGACATCGCTGTCAAGACAAAACCCAACATCGTCGTTGGAAGAACCAAATTACCTGACATCGCCGCCAAGAACAAACATCTAGCATCGCTGCTAAAAAAACACTCGACCTCGCCGCCGAAAATAAACACCCAACCTCGCCGCTGAATAAACAAATTATTCCGACATCGCCGCCAGAAACAATCATCCAACCTCGCCGCTGAACAAACAAATTATTCCTTCATCGCCGCCGAAAATAAACACCCAACCTCGCCGCTGAATAAACAAATTATTCCGACATCGCCGCCAGAAACAATCATCCAACCTCGCCGCTGAATAAACAAATTACTCCGACATCGCCGCCAGAAACAATCATCCAACCTCGCCGCTGAATAAACAAATTATTCCGACATCGCCGCCAGAAACAATCATCCAACCTCGCCGCTGAATAAACAAATCATCTAACATCGCCGTTAGAAACAATCATCTAACATCGCCGTTAGAAACAAACTTTCAACATCGCCGCTGAAAACCAAATCACTTGACATCGCCGTCAAGACCAACATCGCCGTCGAAGAATCAGATCATCTAACATCGCCGTTAGAAACAAACTTTCAACATCGCCGCTGAAAACCAAATCACTTGACATCGCCGTCAAGACCAACATCCTCAACATCACCGTCGAAGAATCAGATCATCTAACATCGCCGTTAGAAACAAACTTTCAACATCGCCGCTAAATACTAAATCATCTAACATCGCCGTCAGAAACAAATTTCTCAACATCGCCGTTGAAGAATCAAATCACTTGACATCGCCGTCAAACCTTCGCTAAATACGAGCGAGCAACGAGATTCGAACGAATTTAAGACCATCCTTTGGTGACAATCACAAAAGAAATCCGCTGGGGAAGAGGGGCTTAACCAAACAACTATGGCAGGGAGAAAACGAGAGAAACTCAACCAAGTAACTCCGTTGGGTAATACATAATAAGATGATGTTACGCCATGGTCTAGATACCATTTTGGCTAAAGGTAACATTCACGTTGTCAGAGTCTGAATACTCGAGGGACATCGGAGCCTGGACGCTCAAAGCAGATATACCAGAGTCTGAATACTCGAGGGACATCGGAGCTTGGATGCTCAATGCACTTATGAGCCATGGATGCTCTATGCAAAATACCGGAGTCTGGATGCTTGGTTAATAAATATGAGTCTGGATACTCAATAATCTGAGTCTGGATACTCAAAAACTGGAGCCTGGATGCTCAATGCAAATCTGAGCCTGGATGCTCTATGCAACAAACCTGAGTCTGGATACTCAATGGACAAAAGAGATCGGTAACTGCCATGATCTGAATACCACACAGGCAAAGATGACTAACTACCGGAGAAAACCAAGAGTCGGGTCTGGATATCATGCAGGCTAACAGGAACATATTAATTTGCCATGGTCTGGATACCATATAGGGCTAGCAACAAAATCATCAACCGAAGTTCGACGACGCTGCTGGGGAGAAACGTAAGCCGGGGTCTAGATACCACGCGAGCTGACAAAAAGTATTACGGTCTGGATACCAATCTTTAACTTTCCATGGTCTGGATACCATATAGGCACAAATATCAACCAAAATTTGCCAGGTCTGAATACCTTGCGGGCAACATAATTCAACCATCTGCTGAAAACAAATATCTGAGAACAGAGCGGTAACCACCTGGCTTATGTTTCAGATGCATATGTTTGAGAATGGCGTAATGCTCCATGCAAAATGGAAATGCTACGCGTTTAGGTAGATGCTATGCATGTATGTAGATGCAAATGAACCACTCTAGCAAAATAAATGCTAAAGAGAAAGAGAGCCAACTCCACTAGGGAAAGACTAGATACGCCTAGCGCAAACAAACTCATGTTGGGGAACACAAGCCCTGGATGACCTCTGATAAAAAACTTCTGGGTAAAACTTCTCTGTTGAGAACAAAACCAACCCTCTGGGGATCCAAATCAAACTCTGCTACGAAAGACGTCCCGGATGGCCTATCAGCCTACAACTCTTTTGGGGAACACAACTTGGCTGGAGACAACCACTCCACTCTACCGGGGAAAACAACCATGAATGATTAGCCAGAATAACTCTACTGGGGATCATAGCAGATTGCTGAGGAATAGCTCCATTCTGTCGGAGATTGAATCCGCTATCTGCTAGGGATTTTGAATAAGACTTACTGGGAGCTTATCCTAAACTATCTCTGCTGGGGATGGGGATAAACAATCTCTGAGTCAGTTCCACTCTGTGGGGAAGGAAATTAACTCCGTTGGCTTGGCTGGGGATTAGATAAGGAGGGAATCAACATCAATTTCTGCTTGGGGAAAATGAGAAGTAAACTCCAACAATACTTCCGTTTGGGGAATGAGTCAATGACCTAGACTCTGAGGGGAAAGAAGTCAACCATTTAGACTTTGTAGGGATAACAGTACTGCACTCGCCCTACTGCTGGGGAAATAAACCCAAATCTGCTTCTATAATTCTGATAAGCTCTGAAGATATGGAGAGGAACACATCTCCTTTGTTTCCAATTTTGCCCCAGCCTGTGGAACCTGATGGTTAGATATGAATTGCCTCAGCGCTTCGAACCCCGAAGAGGTACTTCAAGTCAATTTCCTTTCTGGGTAAGGATAGTTGTCGTGATCCTGGGGTGGCCTGCCCCAGCTTTGAAGTGATTTGCCCCTGATTGGCTGATTTGGAGAAGTGCCTTTGACTTCGAGAGATTTACCTAATCTCGACCTAATTCCCCCAAATTAACGGACCTTAGGGAATGGCGTCTTCGACTGGCCTTCGAGTGGTTTGATGAGTCTCGACCTGATTGCTCCAGATTAGCTGCATCTAGAAATGACCGACTCTGCTTATGTTTACTTGATGTGACTTGCCCCTGCTCAAAGGAGTACTCGGGCGCTCTATATCTATCAAACTTCGCATTGTAGAAACTTTCCTGATGTCAAATGCTTTCTCGCGAGTAAAACAATTTGTTTTGCAAAAGATAATATTAATGCAATGCATATGACAGTTTTGAAATCCAAGTCTGTTCACTGGAAAAAAAAATGTGGCATTTAGTGAACGAATCACTTATCAGAAATATCAATATC